TTTTTTTAAAAAAAAAAAATTGTTAGAAAAGAAAAGATATCTAAAATTTAAGGTCGGTCTTTTCTCAAGACTACTGTAGCCGCTATTGAGTGATAAGTTGGACGTATTTCCAAGTAGTTTAGCTAGCTTTCTATAGGATAATACACTGTTCACATAAGGAATATGAAAACATAACGCATAAATAATGGACGAGGTCATTCGGGAGTTTTAATTGGAACGGAATATAAACTACCTCCGTTATAGGTTATATGCAACGATTTAACATAAAGCAGAGAAGGAAAATATCTAATTGTTGCACATAATCTGTAATGGAGGTAATATATTAATAATAATAATAACCAATCGTATGCATACATATTTAGCATATTGTAAAGACTAAACAGTGCCCCATCTTCCTTATCATTGTCCACATCGGAAAGTAATTGTATCACTTGAGCTCGTATTCTCAATCTAGTTGCTTCCCAAAAATTGTACTCGTATATAACTATATTCATATTTCATTTTAGATCTATTTATAAATTCCAAAAGATGAACACAAGTAGTTTTTGTACTTTGTGTAATCCAATTACTAGTATATCATAATTTTGGTGTAGTAATAATTAGAGCCACGAAGAGTAGATGATGTTATAGTGTTTGGTGTAACTTACATTTTATTTAATCTAACACATGTAACGTTTGATCATTTATTTTACTTGTACGCTGCAAGAATTCACCAATCCACATACACGTATCATGTATGTAGTGAGAGTGAGAGATAGCTCAATTGGTTAGTGCTCCTTTCTCGGTTTCAAGAGATTTTAGAATCGATTCTCATCACTCGCCTTTGTGGCTCTCCAAACAGAAAAAAGAGGCAAAAAAAAAAAAAAAAAAAAATGTATGTAGGTTATACTTCCTCACCGAGAATAGTGCTGCAACAAAATGCTTTCTATAATATACTTCGTATGATACTGATCCCAAAATTGAGAAAATAGGAATCTTAGCTTACATTATACAACGTACTATAATTATGTCGATAGTTATCTAACGTAATAACATCACAAATTATCTAACCCACACATTATACCACAATCATCATCCGAATTCAAAACTTCAAGCCAATCTTCAGAACTAAAGTTAGAGCTTGATCCACTAATATCATTACTCAAATCATGGGCCTGGCCCAATAACCCAGGCCCATCATCAAACATGGGCTTTACAGGCTCTTGACGATCATTCTTTTCATCTAAAGACTGCAAGAACCCAACCCACCAACTATAAGAAGCATCAAAATTACCCTTACTATCATCAAACTCCAAAGTCTCCAAAATAGGTGTTGGGCCTGCAACAACTGGGCCTTCAGTTCTAACCCATGAAGGCCCAATTTCCTGTTTTAATTGGGCCTCTTCTTGGGCTGATTCTTTTGGGCTTTTAGTAGATAAAGATCCAATCTTGTCATCAAGAAATGATCTTTTGTAATGATTATGCAATGCATTAGCAATTTCTGTTCTAGCTTCAGCAAAGTTAATAAGACAATTTGAGATTGTTTTTCTTGAGTTTGGCCTTCCTTTTTTCCTGGGTTTCAACAAATTTGCTGATGAGATTGTATAATTATTCTTGGGGGTTTTCTTATTTTTCATGACTAAACTATTTTTGGTAATAAATTTTTGTAAAGTAAATCTTAATTATTTGGGGTTTGGAGAGGAGAATAATAAAGACAAGTTTAGAAAGTGGGAAATTACCGGGGGTTTGAGGGAAAATATTATAGGTGGCAAAATAGGGTGAAATTTGAGATTTGGATGGCAGGGTGAATTACATGTGTGTTGATACATTGACACATTGTAGATTATTTGGACACCTCAATTCTTTTTTATTTGAAGAAAAAAAAAAACATTTTTGATCCAAAATTTCTATACAGCCCAACCCATATGCCCACTACAATTACTATGATCGTTTTGTAGATGGCTTTTTTAAGGGTTGTTTAGTCATTTTAGTGAAGTATTCCCTCCGTTTTTAAATACTTGCTCCATTTCTCTTGGACACGCATGCCGATGTTAATCTTTGATCACTAATATGTTTAATTATCAATTGAAAATTAATAATGTATTCATTGAGATGATTCCAACAAGTACCCACACGACTATATTTTTTTTATGTATAAATTACAAACATTAGTCAAAGTAGGATAAATGAATAGTGCAAAAAATAGAAATGGAGCAAGTATTTAAAAACGGAGGGAGTAACATATTTAGGTTACGAATAGTATTGGGTCCGGTTTGATTCATCTTATTTTTGCTGAATTGGAATTATTTTTATTGAAATGAAATCATTTTTACTAATTGTTTATTATTTTTTTCTTTGAAGTTAATAATGTTTATTGAAATATAACTAACTTAAATGAACTGAACTTATTTTTATCATTATATTTTAAGGAAAATTTACGAGGAGTGTCCTTTAAAGTGGCCGACCTTGTAAGGAAGGTCCTTTTATATATAAAAAAAAAAGGTGACACAAAAGGTCCTTATATGAACATTGTGTTGTGAGGCGGGTCCGTTGACCAAACTCCGGCGTTGACCAAAATTTTCCGGCCAAAAAGCCCTTAGGTAGGTACAGGGGTGCACCTGGGTGTATATAACAATCTCTCAAGTAGCACTCTCGAGGCAACTCAGATCACTTTGCTATTTTGCAGGCAAATATTGCGTGATAAACTCACTAGTCGCTCCGACAACACAAAACTCTAAGGGTAAACATGGGCAACGGGCCGTGCCGCGGTGGGAGTCGTGTCGTGTTGTGCCGTGCCGGCTCCGCGGCGGGCCGTGCCGTGCCGTGCCTAATTTTGGCACACCCCTGCCCACGGCACGACCCACGTGCTTGCGAGCCGTGCCAGGCCGGGCCGCGGGCCAAACCGTGCCACTTTAATTTTTTTTATTTATTTTTTTAAATAATAAATGTAAATAAAAAAACGATATATATTTTTTAGTACAACTTAATTTTATATAAATAATGTGATTAATTTATGTTTATGTTAATGTTAATATATTTTGTTTAGAACAACTTTATTTTGATTAAGGTTATATAAATTATTTATCTAATTATGTTTAAATTTATATAAACAAATAAAAACAATTTTACTAATTTAGCAATAAACAACAATGCATTTAATAAAAAATAAAAAATTATGAGTGCGATAATCCGAAAACACAAAAAATTGAAGAATAACTTATTTTATCATATGTCGGGAGCCGGTACGATAAATCGATAATACAAATAATTAATGATAATTAAAAATCATACAATAATTGGTGAATAACTTCATTTATTATACGGAATACGAAGTTCGATATTACAAAAATTGTACAATAGTGTATAATGGTGACTAAATATGGGCCTCGTGTCGTGCCGGGCCGTGCCATGTGTCGTGCCGGCGGGTCGTGCCGGCGTGCTGGCCCACGTGCCGGCCACCATGCCGCCCATCGTGTCGCGTGTCGTGCCCGTGCCAAAACTAATTTTTTTGTTCACGGCACGGCCCACCTGCCGTGCTGGCGTCGTGTCGGGCCCGTGTCGCCCACGTGCTGGCACGGCCCGTGCCCACCTTTATTTAAGGGTTTGTTTTAGCATCATTTTTTGTTTTCAATTTATAAAATAAAAATTTTAAATTTTTTTTTTTTAAAAAAAAAAGGAACTCAGAAAAAATTTGTTTCTACTTTATTGTTGTTATTTTTCAAAATTATCATGAATTTAATAAGTTTTACTAAGTTTTGATTCAGTTTATAACATATATTATATGATTTTAAAAAAGTAAATAACCAAAAAAAACTAAAATCCACAACATTGCCCAAAAAAACGTAATTTTTTTGGTTTTTTTCCAACTAAATATCTATGAGTGTTAATAAAGTAAGCTTTTTTCCATTTTTTTCCTGCCCAGATTATTAAAAGATTTTATCTCTACATATTCTATGAGAATGATGACATAATACTAAAATAAAAAAAAATAAAAAATAAAAAGCTAATAATATAATGAGTATCATATCCCTAAGTAGTTCATGTGTCTCATTTAATGAACTCAGCTGAACTGAATTGAACTTATTAGAGCTGAAATGAATATTTTATAAGAGAAGGGAATTAAGAGCTGAATTGAACTAAACTAAACTTATTAGAGCTGAACTGAACCGAAAATAATCGTATGAGAACAGGCATGTAGTCAAAGAATTTTTCCATTTAGGATGTTTGAGGTCACAACATTATTTCAAACCACGACTATAAAATTTTCACAGTTAAGTGCATACAAATTGAGTGGCATTAAGTGATGACACAACACACATCTTCAATGAAAATATTAATCAAACATATGCCATAGACAATTAGAGATACGCCAACAACTTAGATTTCGTGATCTTTTATAAAGGCTAGTTGTTTCATGTAATATATATTAATTAATTTGTGTAAGTGTTAAACTTATTTTTCAAGGAGTATCAGTGTAAAGTCCAAATTTACCAACACCGTCTAGAGTCACTTCAAACTCTCTACCAAGAAAATTTGGACGCATCAGAAATTGGTTTGAATGCTTTCAAAAAGTTGTTGTATGAGTAATGCCCGTATTGTGCTCTTAGGTTCAAAATATATTAAAAAGGTTTACTATTTTTTTTTTAATTTATTTATTTATTGACAAGAAAAAGTTAATTCCTAAGATAAGCATGATGATGACACCACAATGATGTTGACATACTTTCATTTCTAGATTAATGCATCGTTTTAATCAATCCAGTCAATTTACAAGATCATCAACATATTTTAAATGTGATTATTCAAAACATTTATATGTTACAGATATGCATTGTGATTTGATTGACCCAACAACAATAACAAGAAAGGTTAGTTAAGTGATTAGATAAGATTAAATAATTAAGAGTACATGGAGTAAGAAATTAAACCCCCAAAAACTTGTATGTACGAAATTATGAAGTACTAGATTAGTGACGGTACATGCATATGTGTTTAATAAAACCGATATAAAAGTGAAGGAAATAAAAAACTTCACAGTATGAGTTATGGTAAATTAATAATAACAATGATTAAAAAAAAAACTATAGGAGACGAATAACAAAGTAACTTAAATAGAGATGCAAACTAATTAAGATCCAATTGGACTACAAAGTTACGGTCCAATTTTTTTTTTTTTTAAGTTTAAGGACACTAAAAAAAAATAAACTACAAGCCAATACAATTTCTTGAGGTGGTAAAACCTCCATCTATAACAAGGTTATGACCACTTATATATTTGGACTCGTCACTAGCTAAGAAGAGTGCAGCCTCAGCAACATCTTGAGCCTTAAGTGTTGCACCCTTCATATTTGCAAACCCTTTAACAATTTCTTCCACTTTTTGCACCCTTGACACATCATTGACGTGCTCTTCTTCCTCATCATCACGCCATGCATTAATTAGCATGGAGGTTGCTACACCAAAAGGGGAGATACAATTTACCCTAATCCCATACTTTCCAAGTTCCAATGATGCATTCTTGGTAAGACCTACAATTGCGTGTTTTGAGGCTGTGTAGGAATGGGGTCCGCATCCACCAAGGACCCCGGCTACACTAGAAGTGGAAATGATGCAACCACTTTTCCTAGGGACCATGGCCCTAGCGGCGTATTTAGTCCCTAGGGCCATGCCTTTCACATTTACACTCATAATTTTATCAAATTCATCACCATCAAAATCCATAATGCTCTTGATTTTTTGTTGGCCTAAAATTGCGGCATTGTTGAAGAAGATATCTAGCTTGTCATAGAGCACAATTGTGTTTTTGACCAAATTTTCGACATCTTCTTCTTGACTAACATCACAATGGATGTAAGTCACGGTAGGGGACCACGAGTCTGCTATGATCATGCCTTGGGTGTCCATGATATCGGCTATGATTACCCTAGCACCATGGCTTGCGAAGAGTCTCACAACTGTTTCTCCTATACCTCCTGCTCCTCCTGTGACAATTGCAACTTTTCCTTCCAACCTATAAACACTAGAAACTATTAGGCAATAACTTTTAAAAAAATGTAAAAAAAAATACCCTTATATGACATTAAATCTTATCTCATCATTTTAATACTTGACATAATTTCAATTTGGACCGACTTTTTTTTTGTTGTTTTACAGGTAAGATAGGGGGTCTATCTCCTATGATGATAGGAGGTGGGATGAGGAATCGAACCCACACCACTTATAAGGGAGATGGACTGACTTTTAATTGTTAATGAGCGATAACATACATTTGAATATATGATCATATATGTATTAATGACTTTTTATATTACTGAAAAATAGCTTAATTACTAAGAGCAAATGTAATTAGGGTTAATTTGAAGGCATACCGTACATATATTATATTCATAAATATTTTACATGTGCTTGATATAAAGTTTGCTTCTTTATTTTTTTCCTTTCACTTGTAGGCTTGTACCCAAATGGATAGTCACATCACATATATATCACAAGTCCAACTATGAATAATCTACATACATTCTTTAAATATTCCACGTAAAACATTACTAAAAAGTCTTAAACAATAATCTTTACGTTATTATTGCGTAATATATAGCTTCTTTTCTTTTGTACCATGATTTTCATTAGAGGTCAATGCCAGATGACAAGTTATTATTAAAGCAGGAAATTAAAACATGCAGTCGGCAAATCCTGTTTAAATTTCGGCGATTTCGGCGCGTAAATGTAGCCTTGTTTAGTTTACATGATCAAATTGAAAGGGTTGTTTATCGTGCTTAAATTTCTGTCACTAGCTATTAGTTGAGTTGAGTTTTTTTTTATTTTTTTTTTTCATGTACTATGAATTTGATTAAGAGAAATATCTTATCATACTTCAATCCATGCATGCGGTTTTATTGATCTAGTATGTATGGATTAGACACTTTTAAAAGTGAGGGGGAAGGTCATAAGATTAAGGTATCCGCACTCTCAAATTGTCCTTGGCAGAAATTGAACCCCAATTTTAGCGTTGGTAGGTGCAATATTTTCCACTTGACGAAGCTTAACTTGATACATACAATTATATATTGAAAGATTGCTTATCGATAAAGATGTAAAAATTAGAAGAGGGTGATTGAGAATGACATGAGTGCTTTGTGGATTGAGGAAAATATGGTGCTAGATAGGGCAATGTGGAAGGAGAAGTTGACCTGTGGGGTACTTTTAAAATTTATTTTTGGTATATAGTTTTATTATTATATCCCACTAATATTTTATGAACTGTATTGATTTTAATTCTTTGCTAAAGTTTTCTCAAACCACTATTTTTTTAACTCTAACGTTTTAACTCCTTTAAAGTAATCATGGATTTTATTTTTGGTTCTCTTTTAAAACTCCCTTAATTTTTCATAGATGCTCTTTCTTTTACTCACCTTTATTTCAAAATCTTTCAAATGATTATCGTATAATATCCCTTTCTTTAATTAAAATTATACGCTTTCTTATGAAGATTCATGTTAGCCGAACCCAAATCATTTTGGGTGTAAGGACCTGTTCATTTCAGCTTAATTTCAGTTAAGTTCAGTTCCTAATTTTCTTCTCACATAAAATATCCAGTTCAGTTCAGTTCAGTAAATGTGAATAGGCCCTAAGCCTTTGTTGTTGTTACGTTGTTGTTGTTGTAAAAATTCAATCAACAACGAACTTAAGATATTTAAATGATTTAACCTACAATAATTATGCTTAAAAATATAGTTAGAAAAATAAATTTTAAAAAAACAAACATTACAAGCTATATTATAGGATAGGGAGTATAATGTAGGAAAAATGGACGTGATCAATAACCCCAACTTATGCAAAATATAATTAGTTTCAATCTTCAAAGGTATGAATAAATAAAGATTATTCTCCATTGAATTTTCAATTCAAAGAAGAAACAAAGTAAATAAATTAAAATAGTTCTAATGAGTTTATATCTTAGCCTATCCTTAAGCCTACAAGAGATGATGTGAATAGTTCTAATGAGTTTATATCTTCACTGAATTGATCCCCTTAAATAAATTAAAATAAAAAAATAAAAATAAAAACCAAACAAAGTGAATAGATTATCATAACTCCTAACTATATACTAAAGACACGTACGCCAGCAATGACACGAGTCACTTTCTGGAATATAGATAAAAAAATTTTTATGTCGATTAAGTAAATTTAATAATGATTGAATGAAAAGATGACTAATTTTTAGCAAAACTTGTATTGCCTAAATAAATTATGGTTTTTTTTAAAAGAAAAATTAGGAAGATTATATTTGATTATAATACAATTTTTTTAATTTTTTTTATTATTCCAATATATAGATATAAGATATTAGAATCACAAAATATATTTGAATAACCAATTCAAATTTATATTAAAAATATAATAATGGAAAAAAATGATAGATAATGCACAATACTTCATACCTTTGATACATATAATCCATATCTTTTGAACTAAGTACATTGCAGATTTGCAGCCTTTGCAGGAATGTTTGATAATTTATGATTCCATAAATCATAATACCTCCTAATTTCTTTAAAACACTTGATTGTATTATTAGCAATATCACAAAAAATTCTATGTGTTTTATTTATATGTGCTTTAAATTCTTCTATATATGTGCACCATATGTATTATACAGAGAGTAAGTGCCTGATTTACTGAACTGATTAGAGTTGAAGTGAATTGAATTGAACTGAGCCGAACTGAATTGTTTATGAGAAAAGGAAACTAAGAATTGAATTGAACTGAAATTAAGCGGAAGAGAACATGCCCTAATCTACTTTTTTTAAAAAAAACTCTCGCCCGATCTTTTCATTTCTCATTTCTCATTTCTCTTTCTCTAGCTCCGTTTCCCTCGTTTCACATCTAATTTGTTCACTTTCTCTCTCTTTAACCTTTCCTTTCTCTCCTTCCATGGAAGCTTTAAGCTTTTCCCCTTTTTTATTTTTATTTTGGTGATTTTAAGTTAAAATTCGACCATGAAATTCAACTTGACTACGAATTTCAGTAATAATCGACCATGGTTTCAAGGTAAGGGCATTTCATTTTAAATTCATTTTTATTATGTCTTTATTTGCTATCCTTTGGGCTATTTGGCTTTCTCGGAACCAATTAAGATCCAGACATGCGGTTTGGTCGCCCAGGACAATTGAAGCTTTGGCTGAGGATTGGTTCCACCGTTGTGTCCAGTCTCAAGATTGGAAGAAATCTGTGTTGGGATCTTGTTCGCCTGGTTCGCCTGTGCTTTCAGGTGATCCATGGTTGTGTTTGAGGGGATTATCAGGCATAAGCCCCACGGTTTGTTTGATCATTGATGGAGCTTGGGATTGCTCCACTTGTAGGGCTGGGGCAGGTTGGATTATCCGTGACCTTTATTCTTCGAAGGTTCTGGGTGGAGGTAGTAGGGTTTTTTTGTCTGGATCGGCATTACAGTCTGAGCTACAAGCTTGTTTATGGGGTCTTCAGGCGGTAGTTCGCAAAAGTTTCTTGAAGATTCGAATTCATTCTGATTGTGCGACTCTCCTTTCTTTGCTTCTAAATTCAGGTCAAATGGACATTTCGGTTTGGTGGCTCATTCTGGAATTGCGGGCAGTTGTTGAGTCTTTTTTGGTGTGCCGAATTCGTAAGGTTCCTCGGTCCTGGGTTTCTCCGGCTCATTGGTTAGCTGGTTGTGCTCGACGACGGCAGTTGTTGTTTTTTCATTTCTAGTTTTTTTCTCTTTCTGTTGCAGTTTTTTTTTTCTTTGATAGTTCTTTTGTCAAAAAAAAAAATATTATAGACCAAAAAAAAAATCCAACACGTTCCCTAACGGAATTTTTTTTTTTTTTTTTAAAAAAAAAAGAAAGTAAAATCCAATTATTATTTATATGTTAAAATTATATATAGTGTTATATTAATAATATTAAATAATAAAACTATCGTGCATGGACCCTAAATTAGTATTATACTAAAGTGATGTAAAATGAAATTTCCTAATTTACACTTGTCTAAATTTATATGAAACTTGGTGTAAGAAAAATTAATCATATGAACCTCTTTGAAATAAAGTAAAATTAAAGTATGTATGGGCCTCACTAATTAAGCAAAATTTAAACACGAAAATCATAATTTATGTAAAATCATAAGTACATAGATTAATGTCTTAGAAATTACTTAAACATACATATATAAGTGCACAATAACATTTTCATATACTCATTAATTAATTTAATTCCCAGAATTGATTTTCAAATTCGGATTAACCCAAAGGGTGAACCGGGTGGAACATCCAAAAAAAAAAAAACTAATTAATTAATTTAATTTTAAAAACAAAGCATGGCTCGGAAATTAACTTCTCCATAGTAAAAACATATACTTGGGGTACCTTTTCGTGGGAAGAGAGGTGCTTCCCATATCAACATGATCGACATTTGGTTCAAGTGTCTCTTCCAATGCTGATTGATGAAATGGCATCTTGAATTCTTGGTTGTTGATTTGCAACAAATAATGTACGGGAATTTTTTTATATTCTTTCTTTGTGGTTTAATGGAGGATAGAAATGTTTTGATTAGGTAGGATAGAAAATGCTCAAGCAAAACAGATATTATTGCTTTATATATATATAGGATACAGAAATTTTGGTGTATTTGTATATTTTATTATATAATCTATTATATACAGCCATACAGGATTTTTTTTTTTGGAGCAATACAGCCATACAGGATAGAATATGCAATCATGTTTGATTTTTTTTTTTTTTTTCTTTAAATGAATATTATGTATCATGTATGATCTTGTCAAAAAAAAAAAAATCATGTATGATACATCAAAAAAATCGTATATGATACTCACACTTTGTGATACGTAACATTTTAGCTACTCTTGAGCCTTGACTTCTTGAGATACGTACTTATCAATAAGAACGTCAAATCAATAGTCAATATCTGAAAATTAAGTGGTTGATCAACTAGCTAGGTTTAGATGATTATGGGCATGTTCTGATCTGAAGTGAATTGAAATAATTAGAGTTGAACTGAATATCATTTTATGAGAGAAGGAAATTAAGAACTGAACTGAACTTATTGGAGCTGAACTGAATTGAACTGAACTGAAGTGAAAATAATCTGAAAAGAACAAACCCTAAATCTTTAAGGGGTGGTACTTAAACTTAGGATCACCCATCTTCATAGCATTTGCTCTTATGGCACTCTCTATATAAAAAATAACGCTAGTTGTGGCAGAACCTGATCAATAAAAATTGAGAAATTTATTACATAATGGCAAAAGAGAAATCAAAAGTTTTAAGAAATAAATTTGAAAGTGTAATATAAAATAGCTTATTATGCAATAAGTCTTGTGTAAGGAGGGTGTACATTAATTTAATTTTAAGACGGTTAGTTTGAAGGTAACTTTAACTATTTTTATGGTAACATTAATCCGTTAAAGGGCAACTTTTAATTTATCATTGGTTTGAGTTTTATATTTAAATGTGTAACTTCTTATAAATTCATGATTACATAATATAAAGGCTAATATGATTAACCTAATACATAATAAGTTTTTTTTGTAAGATAAAATTTATTGTTAGAAAAATAATACAGAGTAACTTGTATAGTATAAAGAGTAACTTTAAATACTTTTAAGATAACTTTAACCCGTCTTTCAATAAATTAACGTACACCCGCTTTTTTGAAAAATTTGATCTTACAATATTAAAACCTATATTCTTATATGTACGTGGTGAGAGCTTATTTTGTTAGTGTTATAGGGTTATCGGTAAGTGTTATTTCGTCAGTGTTATAAGGATTACTAGGTCAGTGTTACAGAGGACTTGCTCGGTCAGTATTATAGGAGTTACTTTGTTCTTACAACATGGATTGAAAATCGAAAACCTCACATACTAGCTTAGTAAAAAAAAAAAAATGTAATACTCCAATTCGTTCGTAGAAGTAAAATTGAGCAAAGAGCGAGTCTTGTCTTAACACTATATTTTTCCTACAAAGTTAGGGTATATGCAGGCATATAGCTATGATTATGTTTTAGAGATATGACATATCGGAAAATATATGTGTTAATGATTAATAATCTTCACCCTTTATTAATTTATGTAAGAAAATTATGTGTTAATGATTAATGAGTACTCTATATTTTTTGAAACAGATTAATGAGTATATTAATTAGCACACTATTTGAACATAAACATTATTTGATGTGTTGAAATTTTTGGTACATGTCACTCTATCTACTTCACTATTATTTGAAGTATTAGTGTATAACACTAGACTAAGAATTGTACGAGTATTAGTACGAATAATTTCTTATTTCTAGTCAAGTCAAATTTATTAGAGATTAAAGTCTAAAATACAGCAAATTCCGTAATCTATAAACGTCATTGACTCAAATAATTACTTGTAAACCCATATTAAAATTCAACTTATAATTTACATAAGTTTTTTTAGGAGAATCATATCAAATGATATCAGAAGTGGGATATGCTTGTAGTAGAATAGTATCTATTTAAATCCGGGATCTGCCGAGAAACCTTAATTACTCATACAATTATTTCTAATTATTGCTTATATTTGGTTGGATAATATGATTATTGGTTGGTTTTTAAGATCTGCTAGTTGTTGTTTGAGATTTAATGATAGTTTATTGGATGGTCAAAGAATGGTTAAAAATAAATGTGACAAATGATACATACTCTACTTATGTCAATATCCTAACATCTATTTGGAATATGTTCACCTGAAATAATATGTTCTGACCTGATTTCAATCAAATCTAATCTTTTATTTTTCTCTTGTCTAGTCTGATGTACTAGTTAGACTAGTGTTGATTATAATTCAAGTTTATATACTACCCCCTTGAAAATTTTAAGGTGTAGGCGGTGTACCTCGTTTGGTACCGCCAAAAAATGCAAGAAGAATATGTAACTGTTTTGTAAAGAGTATACAATTATTTTGTAAAAAACACATATTTGTTTTGTAACGAACATCGATCCAATTTTATATATTTTTTTCATATCTAAAGAACATATGTAATATTAATAAAGAACATGATAATATTATATTATTATGTAATAAACATTATCTCTATATAACCACCCTAATTTGAAAATAAAAATCAATAAATATTTCACACTAAGCAATGAACATTATATCGCAAATAAAAGTACATTACACTAATTATCAAAGAACATAAACATATGTTCTTTTCATTTATTTTTTTGGTGTTAATATGCTCTTTTTCACTCTAGGTATATGTTCATTACATTTTAATAGTATGTTATTTTTACTCTAAGTATATGTTCATTACATTTTAATAGTATGTTATTTTCACTATAACTATATGTTCATTACTTATATATCATGTTCCTTCCTACAAAACGATTGTACGTTGGACTGTACTGTGTGAACCAGCTATTGCTACCCCCGTTACTTTTATTGCAACAAATGAAAGACTTTTTGTTGCAATAAAAGGATTACTTTCCGTGAGATATAATTTAATAATTTACTTTATTGTAATTAAAAAGTAACAGAGGTAGTAGTATAAGAAAAAGACATTATCAAGTAAATTCTAATTAGAATTTGTTATTTTAATATGATATTGACTATATAAGTAATATGTAATAGGTTTCTATAAGTTGAAGAGAAGAAGGTATAAGTTCTCTTTCGATCTACCATTATTTTAAGTACATCGACTTGTCGGCATAAAGTTGTACAAACCCTATAAGGATATGGTAATATCTAATACAAGTATGTATAATGTAGAGTGGAGAAAAAAATTTAAATTAGAAATGATGCACTGCTTGAATAAAACAGTTCGCCTCAAAAAGTGATGCATTAATTAATAAATTAAAAACAATAAAAACGAAGAGTGCGACCCAAGGCTTTAATGCAAGATTATTTCAATTTGAATTTTATTTTTCTTTTTATAACATATTCTAAGCAAGATTTTGCAATGTGACTAAGAAGCTATGGAAAGTACATCACGAGTTAATTCTCCGTAGCTGTCAATTTATCATCGTACATATGATCCATACTCTAGCTACTTTATCCGTTTCAAAACAAATACGAGTATTTTAATCTGACTTTTGTACTATTTATATAATCTATGATAGATAAAGATATACGGGTAGGAGTCGGGTGACTCGGGTCCTTCCAAGCTTTTCTTATTTTTTTTTTTTTTTTTTTTTTTTTTTGTGTTTAGAGAGCCACAAGAGCGGGGTGAGAATCGATCCCAAGACCTCCTAAAATCGGGAGGAAAGCTCTAACCACTTGAGCTATCCCTCACTCTCTTTTCTTAACTTTTTGGTTGCAAGTAATATGCCGCCTATCAAATGTATATACTTTGTAGGAGTAGATAATTGTGACATAGTGACAATTAAAATATTATGGTCTTGGAACAAAAAGTTAGGAGATCAAACCTTCGCCCCCTCTAACCTTGTTGCGCAACATCTGCCACTTATCAAAAGAATTCCACCTTTATATGAACCATGTGTACATTCCTTTATTTCCCCATTTGCATATTTGCAATGTGACTAAGGAGCCATTGTCTGTTGTATTGTAATTTTTTACCTCATTATTGTCCATTGATCATGACAAAAGTGGTAAGATCAATATGAACACTAAACACTATTCCTTCAACTTTTCCTTAAATACAAGCATTGACATTATGATTGATACATAAACCTTAGCCTATTGACAACTATGTAACCTAATCATATTATCTCTAAATTATTTCTTTGTATATTTGTAATGGGCTTCATCTTATGATTTTTCATAATTCTAATCCTTGCCAACTGCAGATTTTTGGGCTATTTACCTAAAAAATGCATTAATAGAAATTATCAAATTCACATACTTCTTCTATAATAAGATGAATGATTGTTTCAAAAAAAAAATTGAATGAAATTATTTAAGTATTAATTTTGGTTTCTAATTGTCCTTTTTAGTATGGAAAATGATAAACATAGCCCTAAGGACTATGTATAAAGGGCTATGTATTAGAAAATTAAAAAAAAAATAAATATTAAGGATAAATTAACATTTATTACACCGATTTACGCGCAATTTAGATATATTTAATGCGTAAATCGATGTAATAAATGTTAATTTATCCTTAATATTTCTTTTTTTTTTAATTTTCTAATACATAGCCCTTTATACATTTATACATAGTCCTTAGGGCTATTGTTGGACTTAATGAGTTTGATGATGACACAACCTCACTCACTTACAAACTAATAAGTGCTTGATTGTTTAAGTGTGTACTCAGTTACAAAGACTAGGAGAATGAAGTGTCTTGTAAAAATACCATGAGGAACAAGAAGGCCAGAAGCAGAGCTAGCCATATAGAAGAGTTCCCTCACAGGAACTGGCACTTCAGAAATGAAGACTGGAGAAGAGAAGGTTCCCTCAGGGAACAGAAGCTTTAGAGAAGAGAAATTCCTCCCAAGGAACAGAAGCCTCGGAGTAGAAGCTTCATTAGAGAACATGAAGACTAAATATATTTTTATATTTTAGGATTTATGTAAGTATAAAAGATATTAATTTGCACTCGAAAAATCTGTGTAGAATTGGTCTTAGGATAAAATATTGTGCATGCTAGTTTTTAGGAAAACTGTTATAGTTTAAACGTTTATCTTTTTCTCAAATTAAAAAGATTTTATTTTATTCCTTTTTCTGATTTTCGGAAAATATCTTTAACAAAATAAAATCTCCCATGTTTTCCAAAACTTGCGGCCTACTCTCCCATGTTC